AGGCTTGACTGAGTGGCACCTGGAGGCCGAGACGCGGACAGGGGGGGGGGGGGCCGTGGGGGAGGGCACTAAGGAGGGCACTCGAAGAGCATGTGTGCCCCACCGGTTTCGCTGTAGTAGTTTGGCCTGGATCTCGGAGTCGGAGGCCATCCTGGAGTACGCGAAGGAGACGTCAGACGTGGAAACCTCTGGAATCGTCGCAGCCATGCTGAGGCTTCTCGAGTGCCCCGCGACGACCACGACAGATGCCGATGCGCATAATGTCATTGTATCACAACTGCAGGTACCACACATGGATCGAATACATTTTTGGACTCGCTGCCATTGAATGTTCGCTGAAACTTTTGCACTTGGCTGCGAACTCTTGCAACAGAATTTTCATTTACTTGAGATTGTACGGTGAAGGACTCAAAGAAAGTCCCGAGGCAGGATGTAGCTGACCCGTACAGCAAGTGTTGCTCCGATTTTGATGTGGTCAGTCAGCCACCAAACCTTGGCCATTCTTTGGCCTCGCTCAGATTCAAGAGCTTCTGTCGGAGCAGTGGAGTCAACCCGGATGGGAGCGTATTGGAGACAGTGAAGTTGACTGGACGGTGAGACGGTGGGAGGCATGGACTGACGAAGCTACTCGACCTCTTCTGGGTCTGGAGACATGGACCAGTCCACACCCTTGCTGGGCTGGTAAAGCTTAGGAGTGGCATGCCTGGTGGGCATCCCGCCAGCAGTGGTCTGACGAAGAGTGGGAGGAATGGTGGCAGGCATGGATTTCTGTGATTAATGATTTCCGCTCTGAGTTGGAGGTGTTGTGATGCATCTGATAGCATTTAAACACTTACCCCCTTTTGAAGGGTCAGAGTCATTGGAGGGACGATTGGTGGTATGGGAAGTCTGAAGCTTGGTGGCAGGCAGTCTTGAACTTCTGGAAGACCTTTGATTCCTTTCCGTTCCTTGCCGTCTTTGCAGCCGGTCATAGTGTCACGAAAGGATCAATGGGCAGACAAGACTTGGACCTCCGGGGGTTATGGAGGTGAAGCAGGTCCAGGCAGGAAACGAGCGTTTGAGACCTGCACAAGTTACAGTCTTGACTAGCAACTTTCTGGAAGGTGCTGGCTATGGAATACCCACAGCTCCTGCAGGACCACTAGATGGATAGCGCGTCATCAGCTTTCATTTCAAAGATCCGCATCGACGATAACTGCGACGAACAGCGTCTGCAAAAACTGCGAGTTGACAGACGGTGAACTGCTCTGGACACAGAGTCGGCGCCGAGTGCCCTGCACTGTGTATATTAGGATGGCATCCTAGAAATCGTCGGCATGACAGGTTCCGACGCTGCAGCGGCGACGCACTGGCCTTCGCACATGCTTTCGAGGAGGCAAGCCCTCCTTCCGAAAGACGGAGTGGCAAGATCACGAGTTGTTCTCCTGCACGTGAGGGGCATTCTTTGCTTTGAGCGCTTCTTGCGAGCGCAGGCGTCCAAACACTTGCGGTCCAACCTCATGGCGGACGCCGTGAACCCTGCCTCGCTTGTTGCATTGGTCGAGTCGGTAGTCGGAGCCACCAGGGCTGCAAGTCCCAGCATGTCCAAAACGGGCATGGGCGATGCGGGGAGTCCGCGCCGAATCCAGAAGCAACCAGTGCCTCTCCAGCGACGCCCCAACGAAACAATTAAGTTGACGCCAGAAGTAGATAGGTTTCAGACCCTGCCGACTTGTGCAGAACTGGGCATCCAGAAGCTTTGGCACAAGACAACTTCTCCCCACTAAGTGCTGCAATGCTTGCAACTGGAAACCGAGTTACTGGTTGACCGTCTTACCCTATCGATTGAGACAAGCACTGCTGCACTTATTTCAGGGTGGAGGTTCCTGGCCACTACAGCAACATGGTCGCTGTCCAGATCCAATCGATGATTGCTGGAGTTGGGGATGGCTTACAGCATTTCTCCATTGGCCACTGGAATGGCTCCTTAGTACTCTTCTGAATCCAAACGCTTCTCCAAGCAGACACAAGTACAAGGGTTGCCATTTGATCAGACTTCTCGACTCGGTACGTGAACATCTTGTCACCGTTTAGACAGTTATCGAAGCAGTTACCGATATTGCTAAGAAAACATCTAGGAGAAACACAACAGGCTGGGGTGTATTGTTTCCCAGCAGCCTTTCTCCATGAAAGAAACTTTGCGGCTCTCGCTGCAACCCGGGCAACTATCTCTACCGGACGTTGGCTGTCTGCTAAAGGTTTCCCCACTGGCAATGGGAAAAGCTTGCTTGGATGTAGCTGGATAATATGCCGCTCCATGCGCTCCAAACATTTCTGTCCACAAAAAGTTACCGATGGAGCCGTTAGCCGCAAGCGGGGAAGGCACGACATCTCCAGAAGTGGGGGTGTTGGTTGCTGGGCAAGTGGACACGAATTGCTGCAGGGAAAGTTTACCCCAGTCCAGCTCTGCCTTTTCTCCATGCCCATACAAGGCATAGTGTGGTCGTTCGTTCCTGGGCGTAACTACTTTCTGCGGTTGGGTTGGGCTACTGCAGACGGCTAATGAATGGACGCTCGTTTCGCTTCTTCGGGAGAGGGCGACTACCGGGTTTCACCAACGAGGGGCGAGTTCGAAGCCAGAGAACCAAGCGCAGATGTTTGCCTCAACACGGCTCGACGGATTAGAGTCGGATATGTCAGGACGTGAGCCGTGACAGCGACGCGATTCACGACAGGATCCCGGGCACAGGTCAGTTTTGTTGACATGGCTTGAGTCCAGCACTGGGCAGAAATGGTCTGTCTAGTTTGGAGGTGAGGAGCACAATCAAATTCAACCCCTCGTTGATATGGTTGCTGCTGGCAGTCCGTCCACCTTGGAGGCGGAAAGCTCGTGAGAGGGAGGATGGTGTAGGAAGGCATGCGGAGCATGCTCGGTACTGAGGCTGAAGCAGTCGCAGCCCTGGCAGCCTTGGCCCTGAGCGCTGACCCAGCAGGCCGGCCTGCGACGGCGCACAATTAAATGCGTTCTCTTTTGTTTGTGCGTTTGTCCTTCTTCAGGGACCACAGCCTTGCTGGCTGCGCTCCGAGATGTGCAGAAGGCCGCTCGCGGGCTGGCCTAACGGTCGCCACCGACAGCCACGTACTCGTACTCGTATGCACTCTGCACTTCTAGAACCAGTGCGTGCAAGGCTTTCTCAGTGAAACGTTTTGCACTGTCCGTGTTCTGCTTGTGTGCAACCTCTGGCCTAGTGTGATGTCAAAGCTGACGTGCGTTGATGCCTTCCTAACACATTTGCCAGACCCTTGTCGAGCTTTGCGTGAACAGCAGCACCTCTATCGACACAGCGTGCGCAAAGCCTCCAGCTCAAGCTTTAAGGGGCAGCTTGGCAAAGGATTTGCACTGCGCGCGACATTGTCTTGACAAAGACAGGTACCCGGCGGCGAGACTTGTCTCCAAGCTGGTGTGCAAATCGGATGTAGATGCGGAGGTGTCGTGGCTTTGCCAAGTCCGTTTCGAGACGTTTACAGGAGTGCTCCTGCGAGGCTCAACAGATCGCATGTGACCTCACCCGAGCAGTGTGCGGAGTCAGAGTCTCAACGCTGGGAACTTCCGCCGTGCGCTTTGGTGGAGCCAATCAGTCGTGAGGCCACACATCTTGATTCCTTGGTGCGTGGGGAGCTAGCGGAGGCAGTGCACGCAGACGGAACTTTGGCCAATGCACGTTCATGGTGCAGCCGGGTGCAGCATGTCAGGCAGTTCGAGCCGTTGCTAGGAAACGCACTATGCAGCTCCCCATGCCCGGGCCCAGGATGGCCCGGAAACGTTGTTGTGGGGTTCCACCATGTTCCGCGATGTCTGAGGCAGAGTGGTCTAGATGAGCGCCAGCTGGCACAGGCCAGACTTCGTGCAAGTCGCAAAGACCCAGTCGGGCTGGTGCACCCCACGTGCTAGTGCTGGAGGCCTTACAAACACTGGAGGCCGGCATACTTCGTCCTGAGCCCATAGATGTTTAGCAGCTCGTAGTTGGTCTTTGCACTGGGCGAGTGCACAGGAGCCTGGGCCCTTCATGAAGCTGCAAGATGGGGTAGATGCCCCGGATAGCATCGTCCTATCCTGGTTGAGAGAGATGATGTGTGTTCCAGGTGATGGCGTAAGGCGAATCAACCCACAAGGCAACATCCACCATGCACCCCTGGTCCGCGTACCACCATCTGATAAATCTTTTTGGCGAAGGATGCCACCATCGATGCCTTAGCTGTTCAATCCTCGGCACCATTGCGGCCACCAAGCCGATGTCTGCGCTCAGCTCCTGCACACTTTTGCTTGCGGATCTCTGTCTCCTAGGTGCCAAGATACAGAGCAGCTCGCTGAGGTGTTTGCACAAAGTGCCACAAGCCATCCGTCTCTGTGTGACGTGCTAGCTGCGACGTGAGCAGGATACTGGCACCGCCAAGCTTGCGAGAGCTGGCGACTGTGCTAGGCATTCTCCTTGCATGTCTGGTGTCGCAGACTTCTGCCAGCTCATTCCGGCGCGACTCCTGACGTCAGGACCCCGTTTTGGCACTTGCACCGATGTCATCGAAGTGTGACTGCATCGTGGCCATTATCACTTGCTAAGCACCTCATCGTGCTTGTCATAGAGTGTCTAGAATACTTTAACACTCACGTAGTCGTTATCTTTGCCCTCGAGACTGGGAGATGTCGGTGGCACAGAGGTGCTTTGCGAGAGCCGGAGTAACTTTGCCCTTTTTCTTTGGTTAGGCAGACATGTCTTTCCTGGCCGGGATGCATTCAAAATCTCGACCGCTTTCCTGCCATGGAGAAGCCTGGACACATTATCCAGAGCCCAGGCACCGAGGTCTGGGCTATTCGGCTATTCCACGCACGCTACATGAAGCGACGTGCCACCTATATCTCGCAAGTCCCAACCACACTTTGTGCTCGTCTGGTGTTGCGTGAATGGAGCTTTTGCTCTCCACAATGGAGGCGATTGCAGGAATTTACATTTGAGGTTGAGATGCAGAGGTCTGTTCTGCCGTAAACACTCACTTTCGCTAGACGAAGTGCAGAGTTCCTGGCTGGCAGAACAGAACAGCAGAACAAGGCACCATAACAAAAAAGGCTTTTGGCTTGCATGCAGACGTAGTCAGGTCTTCTCTCAGGCGGCACGAAGGTGCACCTGCCAATGCCCTGCGGGGCTTTTGGCTCAGGATGCTGCTGGATTTTGTATACAGCTGCTTGGCTGCAACATGATGACCCAAGATACATGTGCCCACCGAGATTACCGCTCTGTCTGTTTGGTTCTTGCTGCACCGGAGCCAAGGTCAATTCACATGCGGCACCTGTTAGCCTGTACCTGTATCACCCAGCTCCACTGGCTGCTTGTAGCATGCGCATGCGGAGCATGCTGAAGTGCCGCCTACTTGTTCCACTGCACGACTAGCCTACATTTTATGGATAGGTGCTTTGTTTTCCAATCACGCTTTTGACAGCCAGCATGGAGTTGAGCTTTCCATATTTGGACAAGCGTCTAGCATGCTTCATGAGACTCGTCATAGGTGGCCGTAAGGTGCTCACGTGAACATCAGGAGTCTCGGACAATTTACCCGATAGCTGGCATGAACCAGCCTTGCGGCCATAAATGCGCCCAATGCGCAGAGAAGCCCCGATGTGATTTTGCAGCCGCGGGTTGGGCTGCTTTGACCCCGAGTGGAAGCCCTTGCCGATTGCATACGGATGTTTTCGCTTAAACTTGCATTCCTACAGTGATCATGCACGGTCAACGCCAGCATATGAATATGCAAAGTTTCGGTCGCGACTCTAATGCCCTTCAGCCTGAAGTCCGGTGGCGCGATCATGCCAGAGGGAACAGATAACGATCTTCCCCTTCGGCGAGAGGGGCTGTGCCCGGATCTGATGCAACAGGCAAGTGGCTTGTTAGTGGAGTGGCCAAATTGAGCAGGAGCTTCAGAAACGAATTGCGGACTGTTGTCTTCCTGCTTGACAACAGACTCAGCTGGAACCCCCGTCGGAGAGCAGGGCATCAGAACAGCCTGGGCGCAAGCCTAAGCACAGGTCAGCCCCAGCAAGTCAGACTCCGGCCCGCTGCCACTTCAAGCGCCCGCTTCCACATCGGCGCCAAAAGTCGCGATCGTGCCTCCGATGGGTGGCATGGATTAGATGTCTTGTCATCTGTTTTTGCAATCTCGCAAGGAAGTTACGATGTCGCAGCTATTTTCCAGACAAGACTTGATCCAACCGCAGGCAAGCCTTGCCATGGCAGGCAGCCAAGTTCTCTAGGGCCTGTCATGACCTGTGCGCGTGTGTGTGTGTGTGTGTTTGTCGTTGTCTTGTGATGTGTCTGAGGCTCTGCGTTCTCTTTGCTGGAGCCCTACGGAAGGGCTTTCGAGAGCTCCAAGCCAAACTTGCTGACCGGCTCTCGAGTCTCAGGCCGGCCAACAGCCAGAGCATGGGAGCCTCCCTGAGAGAGCCCGTCCCTCCCGTCCTGCGCGGTCATGACCCGTGAGTTCAAGAGTATGTCAGGCCCGTGGCTTAGGAACAAGCTCCGTTCGGCTCTCCGAGGCGGGAGTAGCATGGAGCACGAATCGGCAAAGGTCAGTGGAGAGCTGGTAGCGGGATTGGCAGGGCCCTCCATGTGGCACCGCGTGCGCCACACCCACGCAGTGTGGCGAGAGCACGTCGAAGGCCTTGCGCTCCACAGATACACTCGCATTGAGAGCCGTTCTGTGTCACTGTGCCACTGACTTCAAACTCCTGAATTCATTCTTGTGTAGTACTTCAGCTTTGCACGGAAAAGACGCCCCGGAGCAAAGTGGCATGGTTCACCTTCAACGGCTCCCTGGGCTATGGCCCTCCGTCCTCCAATCTTGCGTGGTATGTGATTAGGCTCCCTCCTGCCGCAGGCGGACATAGCCCACAAAGCTGTCGGTAGCACTGGTGCCACCTATGGGTCTGACTCTCTTGTTTTGAGTCCTTGGCTTGATCAATGCTAGCGCAGAGAATGCCAGGTATTCGAAGAAATTCGCTGAGGGATGGGAGCGTGTCTTTGCGAAAAGAGGCTTCATCCTCGGAGATGGCAGCTGTGTCGATGTGTGTCTCTGGGTGCTCAGAGGCCAGCAGCATGCTGAAGTCCAGAAGGACAGCTGGTTGTGTGAGCAGTTATCGGGTCAGCATGATCTTTGGGATCGCCTTGAGGACGTGACCTTGGACAGCTGAAGCGAGCGAGTCCTGGGACCACCGCAGATCACTGCGTCATAGACCACAATCGGCAGGAAAGACTGATGGCTGGTTGGTGCTGTCGCATGCCAGAGTTCTGCTCGTTCTCTTTTCCCTATTGTACGTGCCTGTTGACTCGCCGAGTGCGCCAGTGATTCAGCTCGAATGCACATACGCAGAAGCGTAATATAGAGATGGCCTCGGCAACGGGCCTGAGAAGATGGAAACTGTGTTGCCCTCAGATTGAGGTGTTACCGGTAGCTGTACCAGTGCTGGGCGCTTTGGCAGAGGCGCTGTCCGACACTCCGCTGCCCGATTCGCAGATCGCGAGGTGTCGTCGGTGAGCCATTGGATCTGGAATGATCTGGGGTGCTGTGCCACAACAGAGGTACCAATGCCGCACAAGCTTGCCATCTTGCCGAATCGTCGAAGGCCGCATGCTTGTCAGGCACTTCGTAGGCTTCCTACGGTTGTCGAACAATTCCCTCGGTTGTCGAACACTTCCCTCGGAGTCACCAGGTTTTCTCTTGTCATCCTGATCTGTTTGCGTTTCCTCCGGAGGCGGTAACAACGGCTTCGCCACCCGCACAGGAGAATGAGGACCTTTAGTATTGGCGTGTCTGCTCCGGTGGAAGAGCTTACCTGGTCTCTTGTAGGCTCTGGCCTCCCAAGTATGAATCCGACTCAAATCAGGATTAGTGATTAGTGATTAGTGTTTAGGTTTTCGGGTTTAGTGTTTGGGTGCCCCGACTTCCTCTGACCTGCATCAGCGTCTTCTTTTTCTTGCGCTGTTGCTTTCGGGTGGACTGCGTGCATTTCTGCATCCAGGCTTTGACTGCTTTGTACTGGTCACCAGCCACGTTGGATCGTGCCAGGAGGAGGGGGAGGAGGATCGCCTCTGCCGCTTTTGTTTCGAGGGCGACGAGGCCTGGCGATCTGACCCGCAGGTGTCGGTTGCTTGCTGACATTGCCAGGAAGACGAGCTGATCTCCCCATGCCGATGTTCAGGAGGACAAAAGTATGTTCACTTGAAGTGCCAGATCCCTTGTGCTGGCCATGCTGCATGGGCGGTTAGTGACTATTCCAGTGGCCAAGGTTTACGAATGTGGCAACGAGCCGTGCTTGTTTCTCAGCCTACTCATCCAGACCTTTACGATCATGATACAAGACAAAGGCCGGAACCAGACTGTCAGGCTGCCACGTTCCATGGCATGTTGTTGTCATGTCGCGCAGGATTTGCAATGTATGCAAGACGGAGTTCACCTGCCATCCGCCGACTAGCACGCGTCTCGTTGACAGCGACATACCGCGTTCGGCTTTCTTGTGCCGGGCTTGCCTTTTCTACGCCACGCCCCGCTGAGGGGCTGAGCTCTTGGCCTCCTTCACGGGCCCAGAGCTGGCTGCCTTGATCGAGGACGGAGTGGCATTGCATGGAGCTTTCGCAGTTGCCGTAGCCCTGTAGCTTGACAGCCGCGCTGCCTGCACCAGCCCCCGTTTTGTGGGCAGGAGCGCTGCTTCATCGGCTCCGCTGAGAACTTCAGCCGGGAGCTGGAGAGACAGGCACGTGATGTGTTGCTGACCTGTATTTAGGAGTCGTCCGGGCAGCAAGCAGAGAATGACTGCACTTCTTCGTGTGCTGCACACTGGCTTGTGCATGCAACTGAAACTTCAGAGTGGGCTTGCGCGTTAACGTGCCTGGTCAGGTTGCGAGCTTTCCCGGAATCATGCGAGAGGGCATCGTTTGCCTGAACTGGATCAGGCCGGACAATCTTGTCTTAGAGCAATCTCTGGTCCCTCACGGTTTCTGAAGGATTTGCCCTCGTAGTTATGCACATGATTTTCTCACGGCTTGATCAGGGGACTTTTCTTGATTGTCAAAGCTGCGCACTAAGATCGGTGAACCCTGGTCAGCCTCAAAGGTTTGCACCTAATTCGATCGCCTTGATCATTTTGTGGGAAGCTGCTTAGGTGGTTGAAGATCGGCATCGAGGTATAGTCATGTTGAGGATCAGCGACGACGAGGAGACTGGCTTAAGCCGGGTAGGTCTTTGTTGACTTTGTTGACATCGCACAACTGACAACCGGGTATGTATCTGTACAGAGGTGGTGAGACGGATGTTGGTGGGGGAGATTATGTGTTGGAAGCGGTGAACCGGGATCCCACTGTCATCAGACTGCCATGTTCCAATCGGCGTATGCTGTCTGTTCATGGTAGAGGACCAAGAGTTCGGCGCACACCAGGATACCTAAGGATAAAACGTTGAAGCTGCTGGCTCTGCAGGCTGCAGCTGTTGTATTCACCATTTCTGATTTGGGCAACCGAGCTGCTGGGGGGTTAGTGCCTCAGCAGCGCACCAATATTGTGGGGACTGTTGCATGGACCATGGCGGATTTGCTGCATTATGATCTCTAGGACTGTAGGACCCATTGCGAGCTAGAAGGCGCGCTAGATTCTTGATCTCAACACTTCCTTGAGCTCAGGACGTCACGAAGCGAGTCATGGTATTGAATTGCAAACAGCGAAAGTTGCAGCCTCAAGCCCAAACATCGGCTACAGCTTGAAACGTCCTTGAAGCCGGTGTGCACGGGCGACACAGATGTCGCCTTCGCATCCCGCGATCAAGAGGAAAGCAGCTGGGGTCGGGGCGCTTTTGAGTTCCGTGTGTCAGGAGCTGAGGATGTTCTTGCAGCACCTGGAGGCCGATGCAAGGACCGAGTGCGCGGTGTGCCTTTTGCTTCTCTTCTGTAGCACCCGGCCGACGGTCACTGGCCTGCGGCTACGTTGCTACATTTGCAGCCGGCCCAAGCGGTTTGCAATCTCACCAGCTGCAGGACAGGGAGGGTCGTGGCAAAGTATCGCAAGCTTTCGGATTTTGACAGCTCAGCTCTGAGCTCACAGTAGCACTCCGATTAAGCACAAGCATTTTGAGTCTTTCGTGTCTTTGTATAGTTGCAACTCTGTAGGTGAAACTCTGAAATACCAATGTCCGACTGTCCCAAAGTGGGCAGTGACATGTACCTGTCGCCATGCCGCTGCAGTCCTTCTCTACTACCGCGAGGCGCTTCGAGCAGTGGCCGTGCGACATGACTGATGTACTGTTTGTTCCCTTGATTCAGGGCGAGGCAGAGACCCAGGCTGCCGGCATTGGATGGGCCCCTCTCAGCCAGGGAGGCTAGTTGGCTGCGGTGTCGGGCGGCTGAAATCAGTGGAGATAGCAGCGTGTAGGCGCGGCGAAGTGGGCGTGACACCTCGAGGCATGGTGTGTGGCCGAGAAGCAAGAGGTGCCATGTTCAAACTTGTTGAGCTCACCCTGGTGCACAGGCTGAGAGACACAACTGCGAGGGCCTCGTTCCCAGTTTTTCTCAAGAGTGGACGCCCATGTGCCTGCTTCGATTAAGGCTCCTACCTTGGACGCAGATGCTACGGGTGGTCTGGAAGCAGGGTATCCGGCCGGGAACCGAACATGCAGAATGTCCCAGCATCATCGCAAGTTCAGGAGTTCTGCAGGCCTTACCGCCAGCGCTCGGGGCGGCCCTGGGAGATCCAGTGTCACTCCTGGCTTTGGAGGCCTCAAAATGCAGAGATGAGGCTGAAGGCACGGGAATTTTGCGCAGGACTGGCACAAGACACACTCCGGCCTGCCGGAGGACGCGAGTGGCAAGCCGAAAGAGCGGTTGAGACTTCCAATCCCTGCCGGTAGGAGCAGCAAGGCTATGAGTCCAAGCTTTTGGCGTGCGAGGTCGGCTTACTCTCACCGTTAATGGATGGTTTGCTGAGCAGCAGCGTTCAGGCTCGCTTCCGCAAGATTGAACGGCTCTCCGCACGGCTCACCTTGCCCAACAGCGTTGTCACAGCCGTTGCTGCGGACTTGCTGCGAGCTCCTCGACAGCAGTGGAAGAGAGCTTTGAATAGAAGCAGAGAGGCACACTGCAAAGGCTACGGAACCTGTGTAGCTGGCAAGGATGTGGTGGACACGCTGCCCGGCCCCATCCAGAAGATGGCCGGGAGCATTCTGCGACAGGTGGAAAAGTCGATCTACAGCGATGAGCCCACCAGCCCGGCGGAGAGAAAACAGTTGGCCGAAGTGCTCGGGGGCGGCCCCGGGGGTGGCCGGCCTGGGCGCGAGGACCTCAGCGAGCGGCAACCCTGGTTTGCCGTCGTCCGGCGGCAGCAGGTGGCCTTGGAGCGTATGGAGGAGCATGTCGCCGACATGCAACAAGTCGTCGATCTCCACCTGGCGAGGAGGAAGAGCGTGCTTGACTTTATTGTGCGGTTGCAGGGTCAGGAGCGGCTGATCCTTCAGCAGTGGCTCTTCAACTTCTGGGTCTTCACATACCGGGAACGAAAGGCCCGCATGGAGAAGATGTCCACTTCCGTGTTGGCAGTGCCGGACGACCTGGTCACTCCCTTCCTGAGCTGGCGACTCTACTTATCGCAGCAACGCCTGGTGCGGGCGCGTGCCAAGTGTGCCGAGGTGGACAAGGAGGCCTCGCAGCTGGCAAACAAAATCACCGAGGTCGAGGTGGAAAACCACGAGCAGCAACGGTTGCTGGAGGAATCCTTGGCGGCCGGTGCTGAGCTCAAAGAGAAGTGCATGGTCGAGCAGCAGGAGCTCTCCCGGCTCAAGCAGGTCTGGGCAGACACGCAGCCAGAATTGCCACCCTGCCGCGGTGATGCCTTCCTTCCTTCCTTCCGTCCGTCCGTCCGTCCTTCCTTCCTTTGACAGCTGGCTTGCAACGAGCCCGTTTGCCTGCTTAGGCTGCTGAAAGTCCTGGCCCAGACCTTGGAGGTTTTCTTCGGCCTGGTGGTGCGACAAGCGGGCTTGAAGAGCCTGGAGGCCTTTTGCCATGCTTGCTGTGCTGTCCACCAAAGCCTCTCTCCTCTTTTTGCGTCGGCAGCCTTCTTTCCGTCAGGTTCGCCATCGGTTGGCCAGGAAGGACATCCGGCCCTTGCTCGACGAGGAGGATGCGAGCGTCCCGGACACGGAGGCCATCCTGATCAGGTGCCTCACATGGCGAAACGAAATCTGAAACGCCTCTGGCTCATCCTCGCCTTCAGAAGTCCCTTCCAGGTGGATTAACCTCAGTTTGGACAAGGTGCCATCACATGCAACAAAAGCTGGTTTTGTCCCAGCAGATTGATGGCAGACGCGGCCAGTAGAACTAGAGGATAATGTTGTTGGGTGTTGTCATAACTCGGCAAGGCGCGGCGATACTGCGAAGACTGGCTCGACAATCTCGCGCATGCATCCGTCCAAGATTCTTATGTTTCCAAAAAGCAAGAGCAAGAAGGGTTTGCGGGGGCTGTGGTGGGGGTTGTCCATGTTCCCCTTTGATGGTGCAGCGGGCATGTGCACATTTGGTTAGCTTATCCTTTGCTGAGGTAGAGAACCAAGACGGAGTCATCATGATTGCGCAGCAGGAGGAGAGAGCTGCATGTCACCTGATAAAGCAAGCGTCTTCTTGAGACTCGCAGACAAAGTCTGCTCGAGAAAGATGTAAAACATGGCCACAGCATCAGCTCGCCGTGAAATTTTGAGGTCTCAGGCATTCGGATCGTTGATCTTTCGATTTGCAGTCCTCGTACCATGGTGTAGTTCCCAAATTCAGTGCAAAGGTCTCTACACTGTGGACGATGTTCACCTGCTGGTGTGTTAACATCCTTGCTCTAACCCCATACAGCGGCCAGTGTGGTTACCCAGAGGAAAGGATAGCATCACTACTGGATGGTAGTCTTACCTTGCTTTGCTCTCAGCTCGTCCCGCACTGCTCTGGTTTGCAGGACATCGATAATCTTGAGCACGACTTGTCGGATGGGGTTGCACTCACTGCGCTCTATGCGATGATCAAGGCACATCGAATACCTGAAAGATGAAATGCAGAACTAACCACCGGGCATCTGCTCCAGGCAGAGCGCGACCAGAGGAAATTCTCTGAAAAGGACCGGGGCGGGATGCGTAAAATAAGCAGAAGAGTCCATGTCTGGATGTTCGGGAAAGGACTTGATGGCTCTGTCTGAACCGGACAAAGAACTGCGGACTATCCAGCTCTGCCACTGCTTCATGGAGGTAGCTCCGACAGAAAGGCCGAATTGAAACATTTGATGCCTCACGCAGCTACTCTGCCATTGCCCCACTGATGCCAGGGCGAAATGCCTGCTGGTCCCTCATGAGATAATGCAAGGCTTGATGGCAGCTGTGATGCTTGTGATGTTCAGGGTTTTCTCGAACCTGCCAGGCTCCTCGGACAAGCTTCAGACTTTCTTGGCCGCGATATTTGTGGATTTTCCGATGCTTCAGGCAGGTTCAGTATTGCAGCGGTCAACAGTGTATGGAGCGATTGGCAAGCCAGGACGCGTTTGTCTCCGGCAGTGCTGCTGAGGTGGGCGCATGGCCAAACGACGCAAGACGTGAATTTACGTTGTGAAGGGAAGTGTCAGGCTCTGTACGAAAGGCTCTGCAAAGTTCTGGACTACATGGAGGTGGGCGACCTCGCAATTCTTCGCACATGCCTTCACTTCCGCAGCCTGGACTTGCAGGCCTTTGCTGGGCGCGCTGGCTATGAGCCACTGGCGGACTGTGATGACTCGGAGGTTCTCTTGTTACGATCTTCGTACTCTTGTGGCAGGACCCCACGCCTTTGCTCCATGCCGGCGAGGAGACTCAGGAGAGCCCAACAGAAATGGAGAGTGTCGACATGCTCTGCACTCCCCGCTACTGGTAGGCCCTGGCGACCATTTCTGTTGAGCAGATCCTTCTGAGGCAGGGAGTTGAAAACAACGGCCCTTTCCGGTAAAAAGGCAGCAATCGAAAGTATGTGTCAGCGCCAGCTCCTCAATCTCGCATCATGTAACTCCTGCAGCCCGAAGCATTTTCCGGGTGCCAGTGGTTCATGTAGCCCATGTGCTACACTTTCCTAGCCAAGACTAAAACCCTGCCTCATGCCCCGAATGCGAGGTCTTGAAGAACGACACTCTAACCTTCCTGGCTGTCACTTCAAGACAAGACCCTGCAAGACCCATTATAACCTGTGACCATGCTTCCGCACGAAGGTGGATAAACGCGCAGCTGAGTATGGAAAATCCTCAGCACAGGTGGGCTTCTTGTGCTCCGTGTTCATAAAGCTTAAAGCTTGTGTAGCTTCAACTTCAAACTGCAGGCCCGTCGAAAACTTCGGCTCGGATTTGCAGGCCGTCAGGTTCTGATACCCTGTCGCTTCCTGGATGCTCCCTCAGAGCTTGCGCAGGATGGCATTGCCTTGTCCAAGCTTCTGACCATCATCGCACCGGAAGCAGCCTGGTCTGCAACTGACCGCTTTCGACATCCGCCCTAGAGAAGCGCGAAGCCACGTGACATGAAGTGACGCTTTCAGGCCTGTCCGGTACTCTTCTCGGAGAACCGGGAGGAGCGCCTCGACCAGGTCATTGCCGCGGCCACTAGGTGTGGAGACGGCACCGAGGTTTTGACGGTGAATGCCGTGGTGGAGGGGCAATCGGACATGCTCGCATGCTTCGTTGCAGCTTTGCTGCTGGTCCGCCCGAACCTGTCAGCGCTGCCTGACTCGCTCTTGGCGATGCATCTCATGAAGCTTGAAGAAGTCTGTGGTGAAGGCTTTGCAGCAGTGTCGATCGACAATCCCTCGGAGACCATGAAGTTTTGCTTGGAGTTGGACGGTTGTTGGCAGGAGTTCCGGCTTGCGGCGCAGGCGGTGCAAGAGGCCTCCAAGACAATGTCGAGTATCTTGGAGCGTGTGCATGCGTTCTTGGGCGAGACCCTTTCACACAGAGCTCGAGGCCAGCCGAAGACCATGTTGGATGCGAAGGAATTGAGGGAGTTCCACCTTTACACGCAGGTCAATGCCGACCGGCTCTCGCAAACGCTGGGCAAAGAGGCTGGCAAGGAGGCCGGGAAGGAGGAGAAGCTGGAGCCGGCGGTCTTTGCGAAGCTGGAGGAGCAGCTCCGAAGGCACTTCCGGCTGCTTCGGGACATTTACAAGCACTACAGCAGCTCGAGCCCCTCGGGGGCCCACGGTGTGGCCCTGGAAGGCTTGCTGAAACTCTTCCAGGAGTGCAAGCTCCGGTCCAAAGAGCTCGCTCCTCACCACCTGGAGGTGATTTTTAATGATCACCTCGAAGACAAGAGCAAGACTGGGGAAGACCGCCTCCTGGCCTCGCATGAATTTGTGGAGGTGCTGGTCCAATGTGCGAACAAGAAGTTCCGCAGTGCTTGTGCTTCTCCAGACAACTTGTCGGAGCAGCTGCTGCTCCTCATTGACCTTCACCTCCGCCCCAATGCTTGCAATGATGCCGAAAGCATGTTCCAGAAGATGGCCTACAGCCCGGAGGTGCGCCAAGTTCTTGACCAACATTCACGAGAGCTGAAGGATATTTTCCAGCTCTATGCCACCCTGGACATGTCGACGACTGATGCCATGCAACGTGCCAGCACGATGAACATTACTGAATTCCAGATGTTGCTGGATGACACAGGCTTCCTGGATGAGGCGCTGACGGAGGTCGCAGTGCAGCAGATTTTCCAAGGCATCCAGCAAGATGCAACGGCTGCTGACGACGAGGAAAATGCCGGGGAGCCTGAAGACGGGGCAGGCCTGGACGACGACGACGAGATGTCGTTCTCGGAGTTCTTAGACGGTCTTGTTGCAGTCGCTGCATACAAGTATCCGGATCCGTTTATTCCACTCAGCTCGCGCATAAACACGTTCTTGCTGCAGCTCTTCGTTGCTTTGCGGAAGCATTGGAGTCGAAAGCGTGGTGCGCCACAAGTCGATGCAATGCTGAATGCATTGCAGAAGAAGATGAGGTAAAGATGGGCATTCAAAGCGCCTACCCTTGCCTCATTTGTGCATAACTCGGGACCATTCGGTGCCCAGCGGCAGTGGCTGCAGCAACACGCTGGCCACCAGAGACGCCTCGCAAACTCGGGAGGTGTTTTTGGTAGATCTGCTGTGCAAAAACCGCTTTGATACGTTTCGTGGCTTTATGCCTGAACGACGGGTTTCATGTTCGGTACATGTAGGCAGGCATGCCACCACTTCCCGAACAAGCACTGTCAGGACGTTTCACTTGAGGGGCCGGCGCTACCAGGTTCTTCCGCACGGAGCTCAAGTTCAAGAATGCATAGATATGCATAGGCTTTGTCTTTGTGCAGCCTTTGTAGTCGCGGCTCTATGCGCCCGCCAAGGCAAGGCCCCCTGAAGAACTTGACAGACCAAGATCCACCGGAGGCCCTTGGGGCCAAGACTGAAGCCTAGGGCCCAGGGCTCTCAGGGCCCTTTCTCCGTTTCGTGTTACGGTTCTACCGTTTTGCCCGTGCAATGTTCGACGAAGGCGCTGAGACATTCTTGCCTGAACTCGCAGGCTGTACTCCCCCTCGTCCCCTCGTCTCTTGCATCCTTCCGTATCCTACTTGTATACTCTCCAATGCTCTGCCTGATACACAGACTGTCTTACTTGACCTACTTGCTGCGGTCGAGGTTGCTTGTGTAGTCCCCATCCTTGGCCCCTTCCGAAGGCTCGGCGCGAGCTTATGCGGTCTGTCCCAAACTCAGAGACCTGGAGATGTTTGTTAGAGTCTGGCTCCGACCTAGCAGTAACTAGCAGGTACGCACTCCCGCATCGATCCGACTGCGACCGGATCCTGTGGACTGTGGCCAGGGGCACATGATCCTTGGCATGGCAGTCGTTGTGTTGTTTGCGACGCGAGGCGAGGATGGCATCGTGGCGGTGAACCTGCCCGGGCCACAACGAGGGGCAACAAAGAAGGGGAAACAGTGGCTGCCTGCTTTGCTTCGCTGAGGGCGCGCCCGTTCGATCTCGCCAGCTCTGGACGAACAGTGCAGATGACTCAGCACTGGCAACCTGAAACGACATGGGCGGGTACTTGTAACTGTCTTGGCTATGTAGGTTGAGTTTTTTTTTCCCCTGCTTTGCCGTGCAAAGCAGACCCCGCCAAGATGCTGGAGCCGCAACTCTCCACGGTGGTCGGAGCCACCGCAAAAACCATACGCTGATGCCGCGACAGTGGAAGATCGCCGGAACAAGCTCCATGTCAACCCGCAAAGACATGGTTCGAAAGCGTTGTCCGGGCATGGTTTCGGTGACAACCGGGGACCTTCAACATGTGGGGGCGGGAGTGGAGCTTGCTTCATCGAAGTTTTAGATTCGAAGTTTGGGTGTCTTTCCAATGTCCCACTGCGGCCAAGGCTGCGGGCCAGGCAGCGGGCTGCCTACCAAGCTGCCGTGTCCAGGCTCACGACTACGCAAGAAAGTGCACCTTCTCTTGCACCGGCGGGCCATCTTTCGCTTGCAGGGTGCTCAGCGATCGGGGCGGCTCGGATCTTCGAGCACAGGCTGGTGCCCCGTAGAATCGCTGAGCTCTCCTCAGCTCAGGGCTCTGGCTCGTGAGGTGACCCACTTCATCGGCGGACCTTGCGAGGAGGAAAAGGCCTCCGATTTCGACATCTACAGTGGGGCTTTGGCTTTCCTGGAGATGGAGGTCGCCTGCTGCGTCGTTGCGTCGTCGTCTGGCTACAGCATCGTCCAGGCCTTGTATGGCCGTGCTCGTGCTCTGCGGCTCGAACCTTCGCCCATCTTCGTCCATCCTCTGCGCTCTGCCAGGATGATGCTTGTCTGCTGGCCGGCTTGTCGGTTGCAGAGGAACCGGGAACGGGTCGGGGTCCAAAGGTGCCTTAGACGGGCTCCCAGCCAGAGCTGTCAGGAGCTGGCATCAACGGGAGGCGCGGCTGCAGAAGGTGCGGCTGCAGCTCTGCGGCTGTCTGCCAGTGCCTCAGCGGTGCAGAGTTGATAATGTGATGTGGCTTGCATCCACGTGAGCAGGCGATTGAAGCTGGAGCAGGAATATCCTCAATTTCGACCATCGACACGGATGAGGGAAAAGAGGATGCCGGCAACTTGGATTCCGGAAAAGCATCAACTTCTCTCCCGGTGTCCTTCTGAGGCATCCTCCGGAGTGACGAAACGTCGGCGGATTGAGCTTGAGGCCGTCTGCAGTATATCGGTAGAGTGGGAGGTACAGCAGGGTTGCAAAAAAGGGTCGCTTGCTAGCGCCAGGACGGAAGCCCAAGCTCGACTCCGGCACACGATCCGTGCCACTCCCGGTCCCAGAGTTCAGCTGCAAGTCGGTTGGAGCATCCTCAGGTCTGTGCGCGTTTTCGTCTACTGGGGCTATGCTGGCTGGAGCGAGATGTAGGGAGGCCGGCCACTTCTTTCCCTGAGCTGCTGACTCCAGGAGCCGATGCCAGCTCATGGGCGAGATTGCGCGAGGTCGGCCATCGCAGCGATGCAAGTGCGCATCAGATGAAACTCTGTGTGTTCTGCTTTCGCTGGACAGGCAGCTGGGGCTTGTGCAAGGCCAACACCCAAGACGTCGTGTCCAAAAGCCCAGACGAGGCTCCTTGCCGTGTCACTTTGTGCTCCCCTTCTTGCCTTCCGGCGGCTGGAAGGTCTGGCATGCGGTGTATCCTCGGTTGGTCTTTGCACCGAGAAGCGTCACCTGGTAGTGTACAAGCCTACTGCAGCATCCGTTGCTGGTGGTTCGAAGTTCGGAGTAGCCGAGGAAATGAGCGAATCTTATGGAGGCGGGTTCGTTACGGTTCGTCAACAAGAGAGAGGAGTGCCCGCTCAGCCCTAGGAGAATCACCAGAAGAGGAGGAGCGGCGCCAACAGCTGCGAGAGCCTCAGGCTTCGGACGAACATCGCACGTAAGGATCTGCCGGACAAGGCAAGGTGAAGCAGAACATTTTGAACCAACATCTTTCGGCCCGACCTTGAATCATGCAGGGCTTTAGGCTTTCTGTGCGTGATATCCATAATTGGCATATATTGGCATACAAGACAGGACAGTAGTGCTCATGGGGAGGGCGCTCCGGCACTGTATGCGCCATGGCACAGTGTTGATTTTCTGCATTGAAGGACTGCTAAGAGTTCGGTTGCGGTGTGACCCCGCGTGCGTGGGCTGCAGTTTCCAATCACTGGGATTTTGTTACAGAGCTTGAGCACGAAGTCAACCAAGAGAACATGACAACGCTGTCGTGATGGCAAGTAGCTGCACACCCATAGAAGGCAGAGCAAGATCATAACTTTGATCACATCAAGCAAGTCGACAGCAGTGTAACGCAGTGTAAGGGTAGGGACGATGTGATTCGCACCCTGAAGCGCCAAAGCGAGGCGTCGTATGGCGATTATCCACGACCTCCTTACCGGCCGACAAGCAGCTCGAGCCGCGCCTCTGCACCAGTATCAACTTATGATCCGGTCTCACTGCGCTGCAACGGACAGGAAGAGGAGGAGGAGGCCACCAATGAAGCAGAGGAGGAGCAATGGTATTTTCATGCTGTGCTGTGCAGTCAGCAATTCCTAGAGAGTGGTTTTGGCCGATGAATTGCCCGCGAAGGAGGAGGTTCAAGATGGAGCTCAAGAACGTGCTGCAGGGTCCAAAGCGCTCCCGGAAGTTGACCTGTGCGAGTGTTCACTTGAGTGATCTTGAGTGACATGAATATGACATGACCTGCCAGAAGGCAGAGCATTTGACGGACTACTTAAACATGCTAGGACGGGGGACGTCAGTGCCAACTGTGTGCTTAGCTGGTGCACCACTACCACCAGCACCACCACCGCCACCAGCACGACTACTACTACTGCTGCTGCTGCTGCTGCTGCTTCAATATTACTTCTGCTGCTGCAGCTACAGCTACTGCTACTGCCAGTGGAAATAGTGGCTGGAAAGATTTCCAGACAGGCACCCCAGGAGTGTTTTATTGTCTGATGTTGTCTGCAACCCCATGGCCAATGTCTCACGAGCCCAAAACCAAAACTCTCTAGCCTAGGCTTGCCTGAAGAGTCGCCCGTGGCTAGTGCGTGTGCAGAAAGCCTGGGTTACAGGATGCGCAGAGCAAACACAAACTGAGCTGCTTCTTGCCATCTAGCATGAGATTCCGTCCAAAGCCTTGCTTAGTGACAAGTTTAGCCTTGGGAGCTGGACTTCGCTAGCCTGGCGAACTGATACTTTCTTGCATAATGCTTGTCGAGAACATGCAAGCCCACAAGAACAGTACGGGGCATGCTTCTGAATCCTTGCATATCAACTTGCTAGTCGGATCTGCAAGATGTCTGTAGATTCCTCTGGAACAGCCTGATTCTGTTACTGGGGCATCGTGCATTGTGGAATGGCAGTGAAATCACGAGAAGCGCGAGGGTGACGGAGGCTCGACAGCGAATTTCCTTGCATCGGCACTACCGCTACTTCTACTTCAACTGTTGGTCACTAGTAGTAGTAGTAGTAGTAGTAGTAGTAGTAGTAGTAGACGTAGAAGTAGACGTAGAAGTAGACGTAGAAGTAGAAGTAGAAGTAGAAGTAGAAGTAGAAGTAGAAGTAGAAGTAGAAGTAGAAGCAGAAGTAGAAGTAGAACTAAAAGTAGAAGTAGAAGTAGGAGTAGGAGTAGGAGTAGGAGTAGAAGTA